GGGTCCTCCTTCCTCCACAGAGCCCTTGGTTTAGGGGATAGGGTCAGCTAGCAACTGTTTCTTGGGGTCTACCTGTACGTGAGGCCCAGGCACATTGTTGTTTCTTTTGCTACCCCCTGAATTTCATTCTTGTCCTTAGCAATATCATTATTGAAGAGTCTTCCCCTCCTTTTTTGGACTGTCCAGTGATAGCCTCAAGGTAGGTAAAATCTGCACAACTGGCCCACCATTTTCTGTGTGGTATGAGAAAACTCAAATTTCAGCTCTTAGCTCAGCTAAGGGGTGCAGCTCTTTGGATCTTGATCTTTGTCTTGAATATGCAGGACATCAGCTTCTTGAGACAATTTCGTAGTCAAATCCTCTACATATCTACTGAGAAATCAGCCCCCTTGATTTAAATGAGAATATAAATATTTTTATTTATTTATTTATTTTGTCGAGTACATATTAGATATATAAGCATGAATTGAATACATAAAATGAGTACAATTAAAAGTAACATTAGGACAGGGACGGTAGGCATGCTGGTGCTTTATTTAATCACATTTTATTATTTACTTAATCACATTTGCCCATCTCTCTCACACATACGCACACACCATCTGCAGGCTCTACTCTATCATGGGATGCCCAAAGAAGTTGACAAAACCACATTTTAATGGTCTTCTGGAGGGACAAGAGGGGTGGGGCCAACCTCAGCCCAAGGATAATGATTTTCTACAGAGTGGAAGCTAGGGAAGGAGATATATATATTATATAGATATATAATTACGGAGTTCCCTTCTTTTCTAGGAAGTACAGGTGTCATGCTTAATCTAGGCTGATAATGGTAGATAACAGACATTTATTGTCAATAAAAAATTGAATATTTTTTTAAAAATATGCCTAATCATAAATGTATAGGTCTTTTTCTTTTATTCTCTGGAAAGTTCTATTTAATGGTATTGCTATCAAATCATTGAATTATAAACAAGACTGTTTGTTCCTTCTGTTCTGAATTCCATTTTTATTGTTGTTCTTCTGTTGTTTAAAGAGAAGCTTTTAAGAAAGCTGTATCTGACTTCTCCTCCATTGGGATAGGAGGAAGAGATTGTCCTTGAATGATAATCACTAAGAGAAACCGCAGAGTTCAGGGGAACCAAGGCTGTGACTGGGGGAGTTAAAATAAAGAATTGCCTGCCATTCAAGGAATGCAGAGAGGAGCAGAATGGGCGAAATAATGGCCTCATGCTTCCCTAATGTCCTATAGCATTAACTAGGTTGGAGCCGAGAGAAGATTTTTTTTTTCCTTTTAAAATGACTCACCCTGATATCTTAATGGAAAAATAGTTCCTATTTCCTTCATATATTGAAGCAGCAGGACAAAGTTTCTCTGGCAATGAGCCTGCTCTTGCCTACAGTAACTCCTACAAATGTTGCAAAATAAATTCAGCACATGAACAAAAGAAAGTGGTTATGACTGCTGCTTTCCCATTGCCATCCTCAAGCGATCTATTGAAATTATCAATAGTCTTGAATGCCCGTGCATTTTATAAATACATTTAGATTTTGTGAAATTATTCAACATTGATTTATCGAGCTTCTTAGTTTAATAGAATGGTAAAGCCAGGCATAATGAATCAATATTTTGAGGTGTATTTTTGTGTAAATCAAGTCAGTCTTGACTCTGGCAACTGCCTGAATGAGTCCCTGAAGTTTTCTTGGTAATATTTTTCACTTGACTTCATGCCTAAGGGTAAACTAGTCCTCACCAAACTCCTGGCTTTGGCCACTACACCAAACTGCCTGTCATTAAGTGTAATCATTCTTACTGAACTTAGATTCTTTGTATATTTTATTTTTTAATCCAGTAAATGGATCAAGCGAACAATAGTGCAATCATAGTGGCCATAAGATTATTGCCAAATTAACAAATCCTATACTTTATGTCCTATACCTAAGACATTTCTTAAATATGAAAAGGCCAAAGACTTGCCCCAAATCTTTAAATTGTTTCTAAAGACCCTAAAAGAGGCAGATTGGCCTTTTTCTACCAACAGTCTGAACTAGGAAGGGCTGCTTCTTATTGATACGGTGCTGGTATCATCTCAGCCAAGGCAACTTCAAACTTAAGAAAGAAAAAAAAATGAGTATTTGAAAGTTATGACAACTAATCAAGGTTACCCTGGGCACTTTCAGCATATTACTTCCATGTTTCTTCAAAAGCAGGTAGAATCCAGCTACAATGAAGTTTATTTCCGTAGAAGTAATTCCTGAAAGGCCAAGAATACATAGAATATACTGTGGGCCACACAGTGTTCAACCTCCAAAAAAGAAAAATGAAGTTTAGAAGAATTCAGAAATATTCCTGGTATTCATAGTGGAGAATATACTGTATATAGCCTAGAGCTGAATTGTTGGATTACTAATATCACCTAGTTTGAGAAATGTAATTTACAATATGCAAGGGAAATTTTTCTCTATACTTGGTTTTATTTGGATAAACATATAGCAATTCCCAGGGCTCTCTCAAAACCATGTTAATGTACATTCCTCCATTCCACAAGACTGTGTGTTTTAGTTCCATCTTAGCATGAAACTTAGGAGAGAGAGAGAGAGAGACTGCCTGCTCTCCTGGTCAGAGGAGTAGAAGAGAATGAAGCTTCAGTAGGGTTGCCAGGTCTGCTTCCAAAAAATAGCGGACAAGGGGGGGGGGGGGGGTAAGTAGTAAAAAAATAAAAAAAAATTTACAATTAAATTATATATTTTCTTACAAACATTTTAACACATATTAAAACAATCACTTCAAAACTTTACTTAAAATTCAAAACATCAAATATATTATAATAAGATGTAAAATATTAAATTACATTTTACTTTGCTGTCGTGTGTATTTTTTATTTGACTGCGCAGCTTTGATCAATTCTTTGTGTTTAAGGAATAATTCTTTAATTTCAGTACAACGTTGAGAAATATTAAAAAATATACAAAGTTCACTTCGAACTGATGGTACAAGCAGTCGGTTACGTTCATCAGTCCACAAATTTCCCATGACGCTGAAAATTCGTTCAGCGTTTGCATTTGATACCGGAATTGATGCACAATACTGGAACAGTTTCAGTAAACTCGGAGCTGGCTCTTTCTTGAAAAAGTACGTCCACTTATCAAGGGATGAATCGCCCTGCAGATGAACATAAACTTCTTCTAAGGCAGAAATTTCATCGAAGAGAGTGTTGCGTGGAAGTTCTTCTCGCCATGGTGATAATAACCAGATGTTCGTCATTTCTTCTAAAGCTGGAGGATTATTGCGATCAATTAGATTGAAACAATTTAGCGTCTCATATACTGAATCGGTGAAATTATACCACTTTTCTAGGTACGCAATGGCTCTTTGATACACGTTGATGGCTTCTTTCTTGAACTTTTGCACGGCATTCTCAGGCAAATGTTTTTTACGTAAGGCAAATAAAACTTTCATTCCAAAAAACTGCTCATCGTGTTTTTTTTGCAAAGAATCACGCAGCTTACACATGATAATGTGAAGATCACATGCAAGAATTTTCTTGCTTTCCAGCTTCAGTAGGGTGTCTTGAATTATTGACACAAAGGAGTGCATGAAATATAAATACAATTCTGAAATTGTTGGTTCATTGTCCTTTGCGAGTTCATTTTCCTGATCTGAAATAAGGTTCCAGATAACCTTATGGCACTCATCAGATCCAAGAGAAATAAAATACGATTTTAGAGGTATCCAGTTTAAAAGAAGTCTTTCGACCGCTTTAAACAAACTTAACCAACGTGTTGGAACATGGCGCAAAACTTCATGGAATTCTGACTCGCAAAACTTACGTACCATTTCATCATAAAGCTTTTGAATTAAAAAAATGTCCACTATTTTGTGAAAAAAAAGTGAACATAATGTGAAAAAAGCGGACTGTCCGCTCAAATAGTGGACACCTGGCAACCCTAAGCTTCAGGTTGTTTACTTAGTATGCTCAGAGAATTCCCTCCCACTTAATACTGTGCTTGTCCTCTGGTGACCAGCCTGCCATTTTGGCTCTTTTGTGAACAAACCTTTATTGGTCCTCCCATCACTTGGATTAAGAAAAGGAAATCAGTAGAACTTTGGTCAATTTCAACTCCACTCCCCAATAATTCAGGGTGGCAAGTGGCTACAGTGGACAGTAGAACATATCCCTCATAATATATGCTGAAAGCCCCCCTTGCTGCTGACTGGTTGCATGGTGTTTTCATTTTGCACTGTATTTGACTTTATATGTTTGAATTCAAAGTGATCTTTTATTGTGTTTTATTGTAAACTGCACAGAGAATTTGGCAACTGAGCAATCTAAAATGTTTAACAATCTTTGCAATTAGCTTTATAGTTGATGTGAAAAGCTTCTACCTTTATTTGCGCATCTTGTAAGTGGTATTTGGCGATACGATCCTTCCAAACTGGGAGGCTATCTTTAACTGGATGGTCTGCCTCGATCCATGATTTCCTTCAGCCGCTTTTAAAGCTATCATCCTATGTTCAATTCCGTGAATTTCATTAAATTAAATGGTATTAATTTCTCAGTAGATATATTATAGGTCTGTATTTGAAGCCTTCTAAATTGGTTGCTAAGATCTCATCATCTCTTTCAATGGATCTGGGTAAGCCGAAGTCTAGGAACAAGCAGATAGGTTTTGACTTATTCTGCTCATTAATTAGCTGCTACGCATCAGCTTCATTCGTAATTTACCTTAGCTGCCTTTCGCGCCTTTTAGAGCAGAGCCATAGCTATTTACATATTCCTTTTCATTGTCTCCAACCAATGACAAGCTCAGAACGCCGGGAGCGTTCTTTCGCCGTCCCAATGCCTGTGACTAAGTTAAGTGGCTGAGTTTCCCCAGGTCCCGCCTTTCCATCGTCGGGCTACTGTCACGCCACCGCCCCATTTGCTTCAGACCGTCCTCCGGACTGGGGCCTGGGAGGCGGCCGCCAAGCTGGGCCAGAGAGGAGTTGATGAGGGGCGGGGCCTTGCTTGTTGGGACCGCCCAGAAGGAAGCCTCGCAGATTCTCAGAGGCGGCGCGCACCCTGATATAAATCACCAGTCCCGGCGTCTCCCGTTCATTTTCGATCGACCCGTTGCCGTCTGATCCTTACAGCTATGCAAAGGGTAGCTATAGTCACCGGCGCCACCAGGTGAGAGCGCATCGCTGAGATAAAGCCTAGAACAGGAGGGATGAAATCTGTTTATGCAGTTAATTTGAAAGGATGTGCCGGTCCCATAGAAGACGGTCCGGAAGGAGCAGCATGCTTTAGATCCGATGGCATGATGCGGGTAAAAGCGTAGGATCGGTGGGAACTTGAAAATATTTTACTCTGTTGAATTGTGCCCAGGCTACATTTGTTATATTCTTTTGATATTTTAATTTTTATTGACTGACTTTTAAGAACAAGCTGCTTTGTGGTCATCATCCTCTTGAAAGCTCAATAAAGTGAATGGGCTCTGTAGGACAGGGATAAATGCGGTGAAGCAGAATTAAATTGTATATATTAGTATAATAAATTAAAGGATGCCTTGCTATTTTTACTTAAGACTTGACTTTCGTTCTTGCCTAATGTCTTTGCATCCCTAACAAAACGCAGGATTAAAGGCAAAGTAGCTTGACTTTATACTGACTGACAGCTAGAACAGGATATTCAAGTTCCTTGCCTTTCCACAAGTGAAAGGGCTAGACACTTGATAAATAACTGGATCTTAAAAGAAGGGATCCGATAGTTGGCAATTTTGTGAAGAAACATTAAAGTATCTGGGTGTTTTTTCTACATGATAAAGGTTTTTTTTTTCAACTGGGTAAAAAGAAGAAACTTCCCTTAATACTGTAACTTGGAGTCGCTAAATTAAGTAGACTAGCAAAAGATTTAAGGCCAATAAAATGAAATACTTTTTTCCAAGTGCATAACTCAATTGTATTTGACACCACCTAGAGTCTAGACAACTAGTTAAACTAGTTCAGAGGAAGGGTTCTCTTTCCCAGGATGCACTTAAAAGTCTCACTGAGGTCTCTTCCGTGGGGAATAAGAGGATACGGTACATCATCTGTAAAAGAAATCTGTCCCTGCTTTAGAGGGTAATATTTTGGAGTCTTTGCAATTTTAGTTGTGAAATCAGGCAAGGCAGAATGGTCGCAAGTTATTCTATAAATGCAGGCTACTTTGGAGAAGGAAAAATTTTCTGAGTGAAGGGATGAGTCCACAGAGTGAAGATGCCTTGTTAGAAGATTTCATAACCAATAAGGCAGTTCTGCCCCATGTTTTGAAGCCATATTGCCTACAGTGTATTGAACTAAGGAGCAAGACCTGTGGGTAGCAAGAAAGCAGATCTGACTGTACTCTGTATACTCTCATTCCAGACTCCCCTTTTCCAGAACCACCATAAACCTCCTCATCTATGTCAGACTGATATGGATTGGTGATTCTTTTTTTCCATTGTAGTCTCCATGGCAAAGAAATTTCATTGACTGTATATGTGAAACAAGTGGCAGGTGGCTTATCTTGGACTATTTGGATTTTAGCATCCTCCTTACCAAACTTTTTTTTTGCTTCTGGAATGACAGCTATATTTCTCAAATATTACTGGTGCTAATTGTCTGTTTAGATCCTCAATCATCCAGGTTACTAGGTTCACTTCTAAAATTAAAACTGAAGAAGCTTGTTGAATAAGAAGGGAAACATTTTTGAAGAAAAAGCCAAGAAAGACCAGTTGCCTTTTGGAAAAAACTCTTCTGGAACTATTGGTGCTAATATGCCCCATAACTAATTATTCCTTTCTAGTTCTAACAACTATCTATATGCTTTTCACGCTATTGCACCTATCTATATTTTTAATGATATCCAGTTATTATTATTATTATTAATTCAATTTATATGCCGCCTTTCTCCGGAGACTCAGGGCGGCTTACAATGCATTTTTTTAAAAAAACCATTATAAAAACATTTTAAAATTAAAATATTAAAACCCATTCACACCATTCATGGCCGGATCTCACCAGATCGCAACAGCGAGATCAACGGCCCCAGGCCTGCCGGAAAAGCCAGGTCTTCACTGCTTTTCGGAAGGCTAATAGGGTGGGGGTGGTCCGGACCTCAGGAGGTAACTGGTTCCAGAGAGCTGGGGCAGCCACAGAGAAGGCCCTCCCCCGCGGGCCCACCAGCCGGCATTGTTTACCTGACAGGACCCGGAGGAGACCAACTCTGTGGGATCTTACAGGTCACTGGGAGCTATGTAGTAGAAGGCGGTCTCGAAGATAACCTGGCCCTTAGCCATGTAGGGCTTTAAAGGTAATAACCAATATCTTGAATTGTGCCCGGAGATCAATAGGGAGCCAGTGCAGCTCGCGGAGAATTGGTGTAATGTGAGTGTATCTAGGTGCATCCACGATAGCTCGTGCAGCTGCATTCTGGACCAACTGTAGTCTCCGAACACTTTTCAAGGGTAGCCCCATGTAGAGCATGTTGCAATAATCTAACCGTGAGGTGACAAGGGCATGAGTGACTGAGGAGAGCCTCCCGATCCAAGTAGGGTCGCAATTGGTGCACCAGGCGAACTTGTGCAAAGGTTCCCCTAGCCACAGCTGTCAGATGTTGCTCTAATCTTAGCTGTGAGTCTAGGACCGTGATGGCGAACCTATGGCACGCGTGCCACAGGTGGCATGCGGAGCCATATTAGTGGGCACGCCAGCTCAGCTCTGGAGCGCATGCGCGTGCCGGCCAGCTGATTTTCGGGCCTTCTGGGCCCACCAGAAGTAGGGAAACAGGCTGTTTCCTGCCTCTGGAGGGCCTGGGGGGGTGGGGAAGGCCCGTTTTTCTTTCTTACCTGGCTCCAGATTCTCTCTGTGTATCTGGGAACGGCGAAAACAGCCTTTCCCACTCCCTTGGAGGCCCTACGGAGGCTGAAAGGGCCCATTTCCCCACTCCCGGTGGGACAGGAAGTGACGTTTTTTCCTGTCCCCAGCCTCCAGAGACTCCTAGAGAGGCTCCTAGAGACTCCTAGAGAGGCTCCTAGAGACTCCTAGAGATATTCTGGAGGCTGGAGACAGCAAAAAATGTCACTTCCTGTCCCACCGGGAGTTGGGAAATGGGCCCTTTCAGCCTCCGTAGGGCCTCCAAGGGAGTGGGAAAGGCTGTTTTTGCCGTTCCCAGATACACAGAGAGGATTTGGAACCAGGTAAGAGAGAAAAACGGGCCTACCAGGCCATCATGTGCCGGGAGGGGGGAGGGGGTTGCACACACATGCGCATGGGCACGTGCGCGCGCGCCCCTCCCCCACCCACCCCTCTCCTGGCACGCAATGGCAAAAAGGTTAGCCATCACTGGTCTAGGAGGACACCCAAATTGTGAGCCCGTTCTGAGGGGGACAATTTCTTCCCCCCCCCCCGAACCAAGAATGGACAATCAATATAGTCTTTAGGAGGCAATACCCACAGCCACTCGGTCTTGTCTGGGTTAAGTCTGAGCCTGTTGACTCCCATCCAGACCCTCACAGCCTCCAGGCACCGACAGATCACATCCACTGCATCACTGAATTGATGCAGGGTAGAGATATATAGCTGGGTATCATCAGCGTACTGCTGATATCTCACCCCGTATCGTTGGATGATCTCACCCAGTGGCTTCATGTAGATGTTAAATAGGAGGGGAGAGAGGACCGAGCCCTGAGGCACCCCGCAAACGAGTGGCCTAGGGGTCGACCTCTGTTCTCCTACCAACACCGACTGACTGACCAGAGAGATAGGAGGAGAACCACCGTAACACAGTGCTTCCCACTCCCAACTCCCTTAGTCGTCCCAGAAGGATACCATGGTCAATGGTATCGAAAGCCGCTGAGAGGTCAAGTAGCACCAAGATGGAGGAATGACCCCCATCTCGGGCTCACCAGAGATCATCCATCAGTGTGACCAAAGCAGTTTCCGTGCTGTAGCCAGGCCTGAAGCCAGACTGAAAAGGGTCCAGATAATCCGTTTCATCCAATGACTGCAGGAGCTGAAGTGCCACCACTTTCTCTACAACCTTTCCCACAAAGGATAGGTTGGAGACTGGATGAAAGTTCTTTAATTCTTTAAGTTAAAGTTCTTTAATTAAGGGAAGGCTTCTTGAGGAGGGGCCTTACGGCCACTTCCTTCAATGGTTGCGGGAAGGACCCCTCCCTCAAGGACGCATTAACTAAAACCTGGAGCCAGCCTTGTGTCACCTCCCTGCTGGCCGAGACCAGCCAGGAGGGGCACGGGTCCAACAAACAAGTGGAGGAACTCATCGCCCCTGCAGCCTTGTCCACTTCCTCAGGAGTCACAGGCTCAAACTCATCCCACACAATAGGATTAAGACCTGCCCCCATCATCTCGGTCGGAATTGCCCAATCAGAGTCCAGGTCCATCCGAATCTGAGCGACTTTATCCAACAGAAACGGCACAAACTCCTCAGCTCTACCCTGGAAGGGCTCCTCCACTCCCCCTACATCAAGGAGGGAGCATGTCACCCTAAATAGGGCGGCTGGGCGCAAATCAGCGGATGCAATAAGTGCGGAAAAATGTTAACATTTTGCCGCCCGTATCGCCACTAAATAAGTCTTAATATAGGCTCTTAAGAGTGTTCGGTCAGATTCAGAGTTACTGGTCCTCCAGCATCGCTCTAGACGTCTCTTCTGGCGCTTCATCTCCCTGAGCTCCTTGGTAAACCAGGGAGCTTTCCTGGATCCACCACCAGTTATTTGGATAATGAACCAATAGCCTTCTATCAAATATATAATATATTCAAATATATAATGGCAGATAAATCTTTTGTGCATGTCAGTTGGATCTGTACTCAAAGAATCAAGTTATCCCTTATAAATAAGTTTTTTCTTCATTATAATGATGTCCTACCTTCCCAACATTCACATTCATCATAGCTACACAATTAATGGTAATGAGATTATTTGTCACAGGATAGGAGAACAGTGATGCACTTTAAGTTGGATCCCTTTCCAAAATCTCTTCAGCATGCTAAATGAAGTCATTGAAGACAAAGCAAAGCCACTGTCTGTCCACCAATGAAGACAGGGTCTGCTGGATCACTGTTCTTACTCTAGTGTATCTCAGATCAATTAATTTATAAAATCTCTTTTAACACAAGTTAAAATAGGGAAGAAAATGGTAAGTGAACACCTGTCTACCCTAGACGAGTTCAAATCACCAGGACCAGATGGATTAGACTCCAAGGTTCTGAAGGAACTGGCAGACGAGATTTCAGAACCACTGAACTATATCTTTCAAAGATCCCTGGAGCACAGGGGAACTGCCAGAGGACAAGAAAAGAGCTGATGTAGTTCCCAACTTCAAAAAAGAAAAAAAGAAAAAAACAGATCCAGGAAAATACAGACCTATCAGCCTGACCTCAATACCAGGGAAGATTCTGGAAAAGATAATCAAGGAACAAATCACCGAACACCTAGAAGCAAACAAAGTAATAACCAAAAGCTAACATGGGTTTGTCAAAAATAGATCATGCCAAACTAATCTTATTGCATTCTTTGACAAAGTGACAAAATTAGTGGACCAGAGGAAAGCTGTCAGTATAATTTACTTGGACTTCAGTAAAGCATTTGATAAAGTAGACCATAACCTACTACCAGATAAAGTAGAAAAATGTGAGTTAGACAGCATCACCACCAGATGGATTCGTAACTGGCTGACCAACTGCACTCAACGTGTAGTCCTCAATGGAACTGCATCTACATGGAGGAAGTATGTTGTGGAGTACCCCAAGGCTCTGTTTTAGGCCCAGTACTGTTCAATACCTTCATCAATGACTTGGATGAGGGGATAGATGGGGAACTCATCAAATTTGCAGATGACACCAAGCTGGCAGGAATAGCCAGAAGATAGGCTCAAGATACAGAAGGATCTTGACAGACTTGAACATTGGGTGCTATCTAACAAAATGAAATTCAACAGTGAAAAAAGTAAGGTTCTACATTTAGGGAAGAAAAACAAAATGCACAGGTATCGTATATGTGGTACCTTGCTCAATAATAATAACTGTGAGAGGGACCTTGGAGTCCTAGTGGACAACCATTTAGATATGAGCCAACAGTGTGCAGCAGCTGCCAAAAAAGCCAACACAGTTCTGGGCTGCATAAACAGAGGGATAGAATCAAAATCACGTGACGTGTTAATACCACTTTATAATGCTTTGGTAAGGCCACACTTGGAATATTGCATTCAGTTTTGGTCACCACAATGTAAAAAAAGATGTTGAGACTCTAGAAAGAGTGCAGAGAAGAGCAACAAAGATGATTAGGGGACTCAAGGATAAAACATATGAAGAACAGTTGCAGGAACTGGGTATGTCTAGTTTAATGAAAAGAAGGAGTAGGGGAGACATGATAGCAGTATTCCAATATCTCAGGGGTTGCCACAAAGAAGAGGGAGTCAAACTATTCTCCAAAGCATCTGAGGGTAGAACAAGAAGCAATAGTGGAAACAAATCAAGGAGAGAAGCAACCTAGAACTAAGGAGAAATTTCCTGACAGTTAGAACAATTAATAAGTGGAAAAACTTGCCTGCAGAAGTTGTGAATGCTCCTACACTGGAAATTTTTAAGAAGATGTTGGTAACCATTTGTCTGAAGTGGTGTAGGGTTTCCTGCCTGGGCAGGGGGTTGGACTAGAAGACCTCCAAGGTCCCTTCCAACTCTGTTATTCTGTTCTGTTCTGTTCTATTCTATTCTATTCTATTCTATTCTATTCTATTCTATTCTATTCTATCTATAGGAAAATCACTTTGGTATTTATGGAATGGATACATTTACAGAAAGATACTAGGGAATATATTTTCTCAACTATTGCACAATGAACTTCATAGAGCATGGATAGTGATGACAGGCCTTAACTGTATGTTGTTACTCTTGCAGTGGGATTGGTTCTGCGCTGTGTGAACGTCTGCTCCAAGAAGATGAAAACATCCATATTTGTTTAGCCTGCAGAAACATGGACAAAGCCAATGCCACCCGTGACAACTTATTATCTTCCTTCCCCCGTGCAAACATCAGCATTGTTAAAATAGATGTTGGCAGGCTGGACTCTGTCCTACATGCAGCTCAAGAAATAAAGATGAGGTATGGGGAGGAGAAGGGCAAATGGATGAGTAGCTAGAAGCAGTCTATTGGGAAGAATTGTTGCTATATGTAGCTCAGGAAGCCCTGTTCAATCAGTTCTCCAGGATGGATTTCTAAGTCATACCCATATTGCATATTTCTACAATAAATTAATCTTGAATAATTTTTCAAAAAGTAGCTATGTTAAGGATACTACTAATCTTTTTTTTTTCAAAGCAGACCGAAACATTTGATAGTAGAAATAAGCCAGAGGACCAGCCACAGAACAACAGGGAAAGGAGGCAATGGAGTCCTTGCACTATTTCTTCTGCAAACAACTGAGAACCTTTGTCTAGCAAAGAAGCAATAGAAAGATGGGAGAAAAGCATTGTGAAGGAAGGGCATAGCTACAAAGCATGCTTTTTGCTGGTCCCTGCAGTGGCAACTACTTCTAATTTTACTTTTACAGTCTAGGCCAGGGGTCTCCAACCTTGGCAACTTTAAGACTTGTGGACTTCAACTGCCAGAATTCCTCAGCCAGCTTTGCTTTGACTAAACTTTGCTGCTTAACCTGGTAAATTGCCAAGGTTGGAGGCCCCTGGTCTAGGCTTTAGCAGTAGTTTGTTCTAATGTAAAATGACTGGTGTTGATTTTTCCTCTCTACACTGACCTAAGATGCTTTTCTTATGCAGTATGAATTATGGAATATGCAAAAATTGGGGCCATAAGATAACTGCAGAGTTCTTAATCCAAGCTTTTCTTAATCGTATTGGACCAATAACAAAAATCATTGTGCTTATGTAGTATGTGAGTAAATAGATCATTTGGGTATCCTTCATAAATGTTGAAGTTCATACTCACCAGTGCCAATAAGAACATCTAATGGTAAGGTTTTGTAAGAATCATAGTCCCACTGCTTAATGGCTAAATGCGTCCTTGTACAGTTAGCAGAATCAAGTAGTAAAACGTTTCCTGGACTCTTCCTCTTCAGGCATAAATGTTTAAATATTCTGTTAAGAGAACTAATCTTCCTAAATGTGAATACAAGGCAAGATTTTCTTTGTCTTCCTGCTCAGTGAGAGGTCATTGTAAAATCAGCTTTCTGGTTTCTCCATGAAACAATTCAGTTAAGCATAAACATGAACATTTAGCCCATCTTCTCATGGAGGAAGATAGAGTGTTATTAGTTATTACCAGTGGTGGGATTCAAATAATTTGATTTGAACCAGAAAACAACCATTTTCTCTGTCCTAATGATTTCTTCCAACAACCAGTTCACCAAACTGCTCAGAAAGTTAACAACCAGTTCTTCCGAAGTGGTGCGAACTGGCTGAATTCCACCAATGGTTATTACATATTGACATATTACATTTCTAGATTAGTTATTCATTTAAGCCTTTCAAGTTAAATTACCCTACTAAGAGGGTTTTTGCTTTTGGCAAGGCATTTTCTGTCTATTTCTTCTTGCAATAACCAGGTATTACCTTCATTGTATAGATTTCATAGATTGGATTATCTCTTCTTGAATGCTGGGATCATGGTCAATCCGCGTGTCAGTTTCTGGGCATTTTTACGTGGCCTCTTCTCCAGGTATGTTATATAAACTGGATTTAAAAAATATCAGTGGGAGTGGCTTCAAACTTCCCATTACGTTTCCTTGTGGGAAATGGACAGTGAGTGTCAGAAATTTTCCTTCCTTCCTTTCTTTCTTCCTTTTCTATAGCCACCCATCTCAGTTTACAATTAAAAAAATTCATTACAATTAAGACATTAAAACATTTTTAAATAATAAAAAAAAATAAAAACATCTAAAATAAATATACATAACAGCCGAGATACTTGGCCAATCAGCAATACAGCCAGGGACCCTTGACACATTCAGTATCCTAAGCTTAGGAACATAGGCAGGTTTTTAGAGCCTTATGAAAGGCTAACAGAGTTGGGGCCATTCTAATCTCTGAAGGGAGAATGTTCCATAGAGCAGGGGGCATTGTGGAGAAAGCCCATCTTCTAGTCACCTCCATGGCAGTCCAGTGGCTCAGCAATGAAGATGCTGGGCTTGGCTGGAAAGCTGACGGCCCAGGTTTGAGACCCAAGCATCGCACAGTGGGGCGACCTCATATCTTTGCCCTAGCTCCTGCCAACCTAACAGATAAATAGGTATCACTTTGGTCGGAAAGTAACAGCACTCTCTGACATCAAGCTGGCTACATGACTGCAAAAAGCACTGGCTCAATGCCCCTTAAAATGGAGGTGAGTACCACCCCCTAGAGCAGTGACTAGTAAAGTAAAGTAAGCAATGCAGCTCTCATAAAAGTGTTGCTGCTGTTGTTAGTCACGAAGTTGTGTCCAACCCATCGCAAGGAATGGATACAATGGATATTCCAGTAAAGGGTAACAAATAGATAAGTTAACCAATGTTGGAGCCTGGCCTTACCCTTCACCCATGCAGACTTTTTCCTGTGTTAAAAACATTACAGCCACACAATAGTTACGAATTTGCCTTTTTGGAGCCAGATCCATGAGGTGTGACCCTTTCTACTTTGTAGAGAGCAGAATTCAACTCCTGTCCATAGACATGCCTTTTTTTTGTCCTTTCTTATGTGCAATATTGCTAAGAGAAGATATATATCCAACTTGGGACATCCATGAATTAGAATCTCTTTCCAAGTTTTAAAATAACTTTCTACGTTTCACAGCTTAGACATAAAATTTGCTTTTATGCTGGTGGCATAAATTTAAAAGCCTTGACTTTAAAAAAGCCCAAGACTACTATGTTTTGTTCTTCACAACACACACCCTGTGGTTCCTTCTAATTTCATTTGTCAGGGTGACTATTGTTGTGGGATAAATCTGGCTGAAGTTTGTCACGTTTAGTCCAAACTAGTTTTTCAACAAGGAGGCTTCAGAAAGAAAATAAACACTGCATCTATGTGCCAGTGCCAAATATTTTCAACCAAATTAGCCGTGCTTCAGGAAAAAGAACTAGGAGGCTTGGATCACATTAAAGTTGAAAAATATATAGAGGCACTGCTTTTTTACATAGGTTTAAGAGAAAGTGATCAGGATCAACCATTTATACTGCCAAACAGAACATAATAAAGTGCTGCTTTTCAATAACAATTTCAATAGAGGACACTAGCCAATTGTATGCTACAGAAAAATACTAGAACTCATGGCTCACTTTTTGTTATTTTCACTGAGGTCTTAGAGAACATCTGAAACTTTACCAGAGATTGTTGATGGTCAAATTTAAAATGAAACTTGATTTCAAGTTAAGGATTCTGCCAATTCTCACAATAACAAAAAGAAAAATTGGACCTCTATACAAATGCTTAATGGCAAGGAAATGATGTTTCCAGTCCTTTCCTTGGTAAAATTAAATGTAATGTTTTATCTTCTTTTCAGCAGAGTATTTCGAATGCTCACCACAGCAGAGGGGCTGATGACCCAGCAGGACAGGGTCAATCCAGATGGCCTGCAGGAAGTCTTTGCAACCAACTTCTTTGGACATTTTCTATTGGTAGGGAAGTTTTGAGTAAATGCATGTATGCCTTGTAGTTTCAATTTCTGAAAATAGGCATGTCTTCATAGCATTGATATTGTAAAGCTGCTATGTTTCCCAGTTCTATAGGCTTGAAATCTTAGAAAACCTTGGTTTGTTTACTTTCAGATCCGGCAGCTGGAGCCTCTGCTCTGCTGCCTTGAAAATCCTTCCCAGCTCATCTGGACTTCTTCAGTCAGCGCCAATAAGTCTAACTTTAGCCTTGATGACATCCAACACAAGCAGGGCAAAGAGTCCTACAGTTCCTCTAAATACTGCACTGATCTTACAAGTGTGGCTTTAAACAACCATTTCAACAAGCAGGTGGGGCTCAGCTCTTGATTTTCAGGGGACTGCAGCAGAAACATAAAAGAACAAGTATGCTGTCCATGTGGCTGGAAAGATAAGCTTCAAAGATTGTAAATAATGCATAACTGAGATTTCTAACGCTTCAGAGACAGAGAAAGGGCAGCTTTATAGATTTCAATATCTTACAACATTGACCTTCATAGCAAGTAATGGAATCAAGTAAGGCAGGGGGAGTTAAACTTGCTTCCTCACGGCAGTGTCACGTCACGTATTGGGACTTTTTCCCCTTCATTAAACCGGGCGGGGCCCGGGCCAGCACGTGATGCATCTGGCCTGCGAGCCGCGAGTTTGACACCCCTGAAATAAGTTATTGTAAACAAATTATCAAATGAGCATATTTCAGATAAAGATACATTTTTACTTTTTAGATACATATTGATGCAGATTTAGAATTTGCCATTGTTCTGACTCTGTCTGATTATTCAAGAAATAATTTACTTAGCGGTACATATTACATTGTCACTATATCAAAGTAGAACATAGCCATAACCTCTCCCATCCTGTCTTTTCTTTTGTCCTTCTTTTGTCCTTCTAACTGCCATTTTTCCCTATATGGGCCAGGCGCCTGCTTTAGAGAGAAGACAAACGAAAGAGCTGAGATTCAAGATTTGGGAGGCAATTGGCAAGATAAAGCCAGGCTACCATGTAGAAAAACAACAAACATTCTCCTGACTACTTTGAACCTCGTCATGTAATCTCTGGTTGCTGTAGATACCTTAATCTTAGAGATGGGGTTTGCTTTTAAGATAAAAGTTGCAACCAGTTCATTCTCTGCTTGTGCCATTATGTAGTTTAGGTTGTAATATTTAAATTACTGGTCTCTTAAATTTTAAAGTCTTATATAATTTTGAAAGACCCACCAGGACATGGGGAGAATTGTCTCATTTGGCCAACAACAACCAACCTCATTGCCAAAAGATCCCTAAGCCTGGAGAACAATTTCACTGTGTGGAGGTCCCTTTCTATTGGCCTCAAGGCCAAATACCACCGTTTTAGTCCTCTGCTGTTTATATTCATAAAACGCAGAAGAGACCATTTTGGAAAGGGAAGCTTAGAAAAACATTTATTTCCTTTTTTGGGTATGTATTAGTCAACAGGCATAGCTGAGCATAACTCTATGTGTAGTGTGATTATATTTTATATGATGAACTTCTCTCCACCTCCCATCGCTCCCCTGTCTCCTTTTTCCTCAACTAGGGTTTATTTTCAAGTGTCATGTGTCCAGGTGTTGTAATGACCAATATGACATATGAAATGATGTCCCCTCTTTTCTGGAAGCTGTTTTTCCCTTTCTTATGGCTGGTAAGTGCCTTTTGAAGTATTGCACCACAGATGTAAACTTGAGGGAGAGAAGGATTGATTCAGTTTCATAAAGAATCATAGGAAAAACTGAATTTGTACCTCAGGATTCAGCATAATGTGAAAAATACAAAATTGTACTAAAATATCTCTTACTTTGTTATATAGGGATAAGCCACTTCATACCTGCAGGTGCCAGTGTGTTCCTAAACACCGGTGCCCAACAGATTCTCTGCCCACTGGATTTATAAAGGAATTCTTTGCAAAGCCATTAAATAGAAGCAGGCATATTGCCAAAGGAGGCACTTGTCCTTAGAATCATATTTATTAACACGTCTACCTTTCTGGCTTACCTTCCAATAAACGGTTGTTTTGTTATGACTGTGTCCATTGTGGCAAGGTTCCCATAGTGGCTATTTTGTGAATACATCCACTATATGATGTTAAGTTTCAAACTAGGTTCTTAGCTCAGAAAGGTTGCCCATCCATTGTATCTTGTAGTACCACAGTACAAATACTATTTGAGAATTTTCTGACAGGAATATTACAATGGCTAATATTCAGTGAAATTGTAAAACTGATTCATTTGAAACAGTTTTTTTAGTTCAATGAGTTTTCATGGGGGAAGAAAAAGCTAACTTTTTGCTTTTTTTGCTCTACCAGCTACGCCTGTTGACCCCTACATACACTCTGACACCGTACAACGGAGCAGAAGCACAGGTAAACTACTGTTAGATATATCCATGGCTCAGGGCACCCTCACATCCATTTGGTTTTATCCTGTCATTATTACTTAAATTCCTTTTAATGAAAAAAAAATAGGCAGTAAAAATAGGCAAGTAGTCTATAGAAACAATGTATGACATGTACAAGATTTCTTTCCCTCACAGCTGAGGGCTGCAGACTGATCTTGTAGAGTTAGAAATTGGAATCAGAACTCAGCAGTGACCAGGAGAGATGGCTTCGTTTCCATGCATTCTGAAATCAGCCAAGTTCTCTTGAAATCTGAGCAATGCTTCCATCTCTTTTAACATATTTGTATTGCTTGTGCTCTGGACTCACCTGCTTATTATCTTCTTTAGGTGTTTGTCTCTTCCTACCATCCCTTAGATAGATCACCCTGTTCCTTGTTATCTGTGACTAGGCTCCCACTGCTGAGATGTTAAATGTTCTCAGCACCGTCATGGAGTGTCTTGAATGGAGAGCCTATGGAATAAGAAATGTTTGGGTTCTCTTCTAGATTTGCTTGTTTAAGCAGAAGCCAGAGTTGCTGGATCCCCTGGTGAAATATTACAGTTGTACTACCATTTGGGGGAAGAATTATAGTGAGAGCCGCAAGGTAAGTCAATACTTTTGAGGAAGTGATACAGTAAGCACTATTTCTGTAGGGATGTAGGGTGCTGCGCAATACATTTCTGGACAGTTCTACAACCAGGCAGTGTAAATTAAGGTTCCCACTGAGGATTGCCAGAAAGTCCTTTCCAGTACATCTTATACAGTGGGGCAAAAAAGTATTTAGTCAGCCACCAATTGTGCAAGTTCTCCCACTTAAAAAGATGAGAGAGGCCTGTAATTGACATCATAGGTAGACCTCAACTATGAGAGACAAAATGAGAAAACAAATCCAGACAATCACATTGTCTGATTTGGAAATAATTTATTTGCAAATGATGGTGGAAAATAAGTATTTGGTCAATATCAAAAGTTCATCTCAATACTTTGTTATATATCCTTTGTTGGCAATGACAGAGGTCAAACGTTTTCTGTAAGTCTTCACAAGGTTGGCACACACTGTTGCTGGTATGTTGGTCCATTCCTCCATGCAGATCTCCTCTAGAGCAATTATGTTTTAGGGCTGTCGCTGGGCAACACGGACTTTCAACTCCCTCCAAAGGTTTTCTATGGGGTTGAGATCTGGAGACTGGCTAGGCCACTCCAGGACCTTGAAATGCTTCTTACGAAGCCACTCCTTCGTTGCCCGGGCGGTGTGTTTGGGATCATTGTCATGCTGAAAGACCCAGCCACGTTTCATCTTCAATGCCTTTGCTGATGGAAGGAGGTTTGCACTCAAAATCTCACGATACATGGCCCCATTCATTCTTTCCTGTACACGGATCAGTCGTCCTGGTCCCTTTGCAGAGAAACAGCCCCAAAGCATGATGTTGCCACCCCCATGCTTCACAGTTGGTATGGTGTTCTTTGGATGCAACTCAGCATTCTCTCTCCTCCAAACATGATGAGTTGTGTTTCTACCAAACAGTTCTACTTTGGTTTCATCTGACCATATGACATTCTCCCAATCCTCTTCTGGGTCATCCAAATGCTCTCTAGCAAACTTCAGACGGGCCCGGACATGTACTGGCTTAAGCAGGGGGACACATCTGCCACTGCAGGATCCGAGTCCCTGGCGGCGTAGTGTGTTACTGATGGTAGCCTTTGTTACGTCGATCCCAGTTCTCTGCAGGTCATTCACTAGGTCCCCCCATGTGGTTCTGGGATTTTTGCTCACCGTTCTTGTGATCATTTTGACCCCACAGGGTGAGATCTTGCGTGGAGCCTCAGATCGAGGGAGATTATCAGTGGTCTTGTATGTCTTCCATTTTCTAATTATTGCTCCCACAGTTGATTTCTTCACACCACGCTGCTTGCCTATTGCAGATTCAGTCTTCCCAGCCTGGTGCAGGTCTACAATTTTGTTTCTGGTATCCTTTGACAGCTCTTTGGTCTTCACCATAGTGGAGTTTGGAGTGTGACTGTTTGAGGTTGTGGACAGGTGTCTTTTATACTGATAACAAGTTCAAACAGGTGCCATTAATACAGGTAATGAGTGGAGGACAGAGGAGCCTCTTAAAGAAGTTACAGGTCTGTGAGAGCCAGAAATCTTGCTTGTTTGTAGGTGACCAAATACTTATTTTCCACCATAATTTGCAAATAAATTCTTTCCAAATCAGACAATGTGATTGTCTGGATTTGTTTTCTCATTTTGTCTCTCATAGTTGAGGTCTACCTATGATGTCAATTACAGGCCTCTCTCATCTTTTTAAGTGGGAGAACTTGCACAATTGGTAGCTGACTAAATACGTTTTTGCCCCACTGTAAAGTCACATAGGCAAATGTTAATGAATCTGGAATTTTAAAAATTAGAGAGATATTTCTGTGTAAGCTATACTCATTGCAACAATCCCCATCTATCCCAATTTTTGATCCCCCTAATTTTCTTGTGTTAGAACCTAGGCACATACAGATAGTCCTCAAGTTATGATAGGGCACTTAGCAACAGTTCAAAGTCACGACAGATACTCAAAAAGTACTTATGATCCAGTCCCAAAGTTACATATGTTGCAGCACCTCTGTGGTCGTTTGCCCTTACGACTGGATCGGGACTGACTGCAGAGATGCTGCAACACAAATCCCCCCTCACCTATTTCCCCTCATCCTGCCCCTGTTCGCCATAGGCACTGAGCCTGCAAGTTATATACACTCCTGCCCACCTCCCCACCCCATCATCGATCGCTCAATTACCTTTCCAGAGCTCAGGATGTTGGGGTAGGAAAAGGGGAGAAACCACTCCATTATGGAGCCAAGTAGTAGAAAAGCAGTGTCTTTCTGAGATTCTGGTGTTTATTAGCAAAACTATTCCCTTGCTACATGCTGCCTCTCTCTTCCTGCAAATGCACATGACCATATATTGCCTCTTTCTCCCAGCAAATGCAATCTCTTCCCTAGCTATCATTCTCCCTTTCCTCCCTGCAAATGCATTCTACCCACCCTGCCTCTTTCTCCTACAAATGCACACATGCAGCAGGGAATATGCATCCATTCCTTGGGAGAACATACGTTTGCCTGCAGAAAAAGGGAGAGCGATAGCAAGGGAAGAGGTTGCATATGGCTGTATGAGGAAGAGTGATAGCAAGGGAAGGGGATTTCCTGCTGTTTCGCTGGGAGAAAGAAGCATCATGTGACCACATGTGTTTGCTGGAAGAAAAGGGCAGCATGTAGCAAGGAAAGAGTTTTGCCGAAAACACAGCTTTGGCAGCGTCTCAGAAAAAGCTGCTTTTCTGCCATCTGGCCCAGTAAGGAACAGCCTGTCCTCCTTTCCTACTCTGACATCCTTGGCTCTGGAGATCTTCGACAGATAAGTGAGTGATTGATCAGTGGTGGGTGTAGGGGCTGGGTACAGAGGAGTCCCAAGTGAAGCGGGGCATGAGATATCTCAGTGGGGGAAGGCAATGGGAGGCCGGAGGCAGGTGGTCTTGTTCCTGCACTAGCCCCCGCCCCCATCGTCTTCTCCACTCTTGATTCATCCCATGCTCACTTAACAACCCATGCATTTGTTTAACAAATGCATTGAGGAGAGCTGGAGTGGAGGCTCATTCACTTAACATGAATCACTTAATGTCCTCCTGACTTCTGACTTAAATGTGCAATTATGATTGTAACTCAAGGACTACCTGTACATATTTTGTCATTCTAAATATTATATGTGAGTTGATTTTACTAATAACCACTTTATTCAAATGTGGCAGACAGATGTGGAAGCAGGATTCTTTAGGCATATCCCAAACTGGATCTTTAGAAATACCCAAACTTAGCATTTTGAGTTTGTCTCTCCTCGCTCCAATCTAGTTTCTGGGATTTTTCTAATCACACCGCTTTGGGAGGTGTACCATGCAGGGTCTCATTTAATCTTTTTGCCCTTCAGCTTTTCTGACATTGAATTACACATACTTTCAGCTTCATTGGCTTTTAATTGGGCAACTTTGTGCGGAGAAAGATCTCGCATAAGAGACAGAAGTTGAGCTAACCCTTTAAGTCTCCCCCCCCCATTTATTAATTTTATTTATTAAATGTATATGCATATTTAATTATTATCTGTTTCTTTGATTTCCAGATGGATATTAATGAAGACATAGCAGAGAAACTATACAAGAAGCTGTTGGAATTAGAAAAGCAAGTTTTAGTGAACAACAATCACCCAGATAAAAAATAGCAAGACAGCTCTTCACAGGAAAATGTTTCTTCCACTTGGAACACTCTTTGTTATTATTGTTTGCCTTTGCAAACCAGATTTTCCTAGTGGACTGCTGGAAGGATTGTACGACTAGAGTGTGGACAGCCACTTGTCTGAAATGGTATAGGGTGTCCTGCTTGAACAGGAGGTTAGACTAGAAGACCTCCAAGGTCCTTTCCAACTCCATTTGTCAACTCTGAAAACATTTTTAGCTGAAGCCATATTCTCTTTTTCTTCGTTTCTTAGTTGCCATACATATTGGGGGTGGGGGACCAATGTACTGTGAAATGTTTTCTAATGTGCCAGGCATAACGGTGATAGGGCTCGTGGGAACCAAGGTCATTTCAATGAGCGCTCGTAACAACTGGAGGGAGCAGCTGAGAAGCCTGCTGCTTACCTGATTGGTCAACGTGATCTGTGACATGGGGAGGGTGGGGGTGTGGGGAATAGCTATTTTTAATTATACCAAACAGTGGGAAATATTAGAGTTGGATTCACACATAAAAGTGCTAATACATACCAAATAAAGGAAATATTTGAGAAAAGCTACAGTCCTGAATTGATTAGGATCATTACTCGGAAGCATGACACCATTCTGATTCATTGACCTTGTTTCTCCTCCCAAGGGTATTTTATAATGAATTTTTTTGACCAACACCCTAATGGTGATGCTTCTTCATTCAACATATGGCACCTCTAGTTGGGGTCTCAATTAACCCTGCCTTGGGGCTCCAAGTACTTTGGTTAGGCCCCCAAACACTGTCCTGGCAATAGATTTTATGAGAGAAAATCCAAGCATCTCTTCCTGGGACCCCAAAACGGGGGGGGGGGGGAACGGGACTGGCAAACCAATCTGGACTGACATAGCCCAAGGAGGCTGACACTACTCACTCTAGCAGGGGCATTTGTAAGGGAAGTCAAAAGGGACAAGATGGCAGGCATTAATGCTTGATCAAAGCCTCATTTAAATGGGGAACACATAAAAATGGTGCAGGGTTTTGATCCTATAGTTGAACTTCTCATCTTGACTTTTTTTAAACTCTTCCCCTCGCACTATGTATACCCTCACACTATGGCATCCTTTCTGTTTCTCAAAAGACTATAATCAAGGCAGTGGTGTTGAACCACTTCTGTATCTAAAGATGATCATGTTATTACTTTTACTTTAAAACTGTTCTTTAAAATCAAGCAGCGAACTTGATTTGGGTGAAAGAATGGATGGTCCTACAAAAGAGACGACTTTTGACATTTGAGGGAGCCGGTCTTCAACATGGCTGGCACTATTTTCTATGGCTGGGAGCATCCGGCCGTCCTAGACACTTTGATGATCACTATTTACGTAGGACGCTTGGGTACACTTGGGAAAAGGTTAGAAGAAGAGTATATTCAAAAGTTCCATGTTGGATTTCGGCGCAGGAAGCTCAGGTTTACCCGACATTGTATAAAGGGGAGAAAACCTTGACGTATGAAGGTTTCTTGGATGTTCAGGGTAATCCGAAGTCACAAGAATTATTAACTCTTCAAGGATATAAGATAGACTGGTGGTCTTATTCTCAAGTGCACTCCAGGTATAAAAAAGATTTACATAGTGAAGGAATCTACCGTAAAAGACAAGAATTGGATAAGATCTTATTCGAAGGAGGGAAAGGGATATTATCTAAATGTTATGCATATTTATTGTCTCTGCAGATAGGACAGGATGTAGTGAAGGATTGTATGATAGCATGGGGGCGAAATTTTGGATATCCCCTTGACTTCCAGCAATGGGAACAGATTTGGTTGAAAAATATGAAATTAACCATGGCCTCCTCATATAAAGAAAACATATATAAAATGGTCTACCAGTGGCATCTACCCCCCGGTGAGATTAGCTAAAATGTTTCCCGGGACATCTGCCTGCTGTTGGAAGTGCGGTTACAGCAATGGAACCTATTTTCACCAATGGTGGACCTGCCCGCAGGCGGTTAAATATTGGAAAAAAATACGGCAATGGATTTTGGAAATTACACAGATTAATTTGGAATTAAGACCTGAGATTTTCCTATTGGGGGCAAAACCTTTGAATGTTAAATCAGATATATGGTTCTTGTTGATTCACATTATCACTGCAGCAAGATTAGCGTATGCGCAGGAGTGGAAAAATCAATACTTACCGATAGATTTGAAAATAATATATAAAATTAATGAGTGTGCAGAATCAGATAAATTAACTAGATTGATCAATGGTAAAAAAGATTCAGAATTTTATAACAGTTGGAAAGTATGGTACGATTGGGTCCAGAAAAGGTGGGATAGAATAGATATATGATGATGTATATATATATGGTGGCAAATATGTATGTATAAAGGAATGATTTTATACTTATGGACAATGTAATCATATTATACCATGCTGGCAGGATTGTATATTTTATTTGTGTATTAGTGTACAGAATATATTAATAAAAATTATATATATAAAAAAAATTGTTCTTTTCTCTAACAAGATAGTGTTCCTTTCAACAAGTCATTCTATCTGCCCTCAATGGCAGAGCCAGGTTTCTCACCACATAACTCAAGGTCCAAGGGAACAGCAGCTTCAGTTTTTGTTTTTGTTTTAATTTCTACTATGAAAAAAACTAAGAATATTTACCGAGTCTAAATTGCTGGAATGAAGATCTTTGTCTTTTTGTTGGCAGACCTCTTTCAACCACTGAGTATGTCCCAATTTTGAAAATGGAATTTATCTCTGAATAACCGTGTATATGGTTAACATTATTTTGCGGTTCAGATACAACTTACTTTGGAATAAGTTGTATCTCAACAGCAAGATGATCTTTTTAAAAAAAAAAAAAATCTTTATTTACATTTATCATTAAAAAAGACAACACACCAGATAAATGACAAACAGAACAACAAAACAAATAACATACATGCCTATAAGTAGTACCTTAATAACTTAATATTAAGTTAAGACATCCTAGGTTTTTTCCATCACTGTTTTTATTTGAAATAAATTCTTCTAATGATTGCAGGCAAGTTACAGTACAATCTGATTTATGTCTATACAGAAGTCACTGTAGCTTGAGTGAGTCTCTGATAAATATTGAGGAAGATCCGGGCAGCTTGGTACTTTCTAGGGATCCTGGATACCAATACTCAACTCCAGTCAAGAAAGCCAATAGCAATAGAATTACCGTATTTTTCAGAGTATAAGACGCTTCAGACTATAAGACGCACCTGACTATCTTGTTTAGTTCTACAAAATATTTTTTTCCTACATTGACTGGCGTAGTTTGGAATAAATATATCAATTTGGGGAGAAAACTCATTTTGACGGTGGCTATCCTACCTAATAGTGAAATTTGTAACTTCCCCCATCATTCCAAATCTTGCTTGATTTTTGCCAGTAGTGGTATATAGTTGTCCTCTTTCAGGGTTGAGCATCTAGCTGTAATCCAAATCCCTAAATATTTTATGTTTTTAACTATTTGGATGCCCAAATTTTCTTCTAAGATTTTCTGATCTCCTGCTGTAATATTTTTAGTTAACATTTTGGTTTTAGTCTTATTTAATTTAAATCCAGATAACCTCCCATACTCATCTATCTCTTCCAATACTCTTTTCCCGGTTGTTAGCGGCTCCTCCATGATCAATACCACATCATCGGCAAATGCTTGAATTTTGAATTTTTCTTTCCTTATTTCCAGTCCTCTGATCTCATTATTCTGCCTAATTTTCCTTAACAACACCTCCAAAGCCAGTATGAATAAGAGTGGTGAGAGCGGGCAACCCTGTCTTACTCCTTTGCCGATCTGGAGTGTTTTAGTCATATCTCCATTAAGTATAATGTTTGCTCTCTGCTTATCATAAATTGTGTTTATCACATTCTCAAAGCGCTCCCCAAAATTCATCCTTTTGATTTGCTGGATCATGAATCTCCAATTTAAATTGTCGAAGGCCTTCTGAGCATCAAGGAAGGCCAATGCCACTTGCATTAAATCCCGATATAGGAAGGACAAGCAGGAAGATGGTATAGAAATGGGAACAAATAGCTTTGATAAGATATGGATGGGTGGTGAGAACAAATTATTAGCTAAATTATATTCATACCTGCTTGAATATGATAGAGAAGGGGAAATACTCAAGGACCAGATGATTGCTTGGGGGAGGAATATCGGATCAAAAATAAATCTAGATGATTGGGAAGAAGTATGGAACAATAACCTGAAGCTGACAAGAGCGGTAACTTACAAGGAGAATCAGTATAAAATGCTGTATAGGTGGCATCTAGCACCATCTAGGATTGCAAAGATATACCCAAACGCAAACCCCAAGTGTTGGAAATGCGGTCATTGGCAAGGTACTTTCTACCATATGTGGTGGACGTGTCCTGAAGTGAGGAAATTCTGGAAATTGATACAAAAATGGATCCAAGAAATAATAGAGGAGGATATTGCCTTTATACCAGAAATCTACCTCCTGGGAGTTTTGAAACGAGCATATGGGAAGAAGAAGAAATATCTAATTATCCACATCGTCACAGCTGCGAGAATCTCTTATGCACAACATTGGAAGGAGAAAAGTTGTCCAACTGAGGAACACATAGTTAACAAAATATTGGAATGCGCAGAAATGTGTAATTAACATATGTACTAAATGAGAAGGAGGATTCCGAGTTTTATACGGTATGGGATTTGTGGTATAGGTGGTTGGGAAATAAATGCAAAAGTTAACTACTAAGGGGGACAACGCTTAACTACTAACTTATGTATTATTATATTATGACTTATAATATATTAATTTCATAAATATCCTATGTTCTAACTGTAAATCATCTATACAACCTATTAGCTACCATATTTATAAGCATATAGTATGACTACACGTTGCCAAACCGAAAAGGTTGAATTGTAATATATTTGTCTATTCAATAAAATTTATATATATAAAAAAAGACGCACCTACCGTTTTTGGTAGGAAAACAAGAAAAAGAAATCTGCCTCTGCGCAATTTTGCCTCGTTGCAGCAAACAGCAAATAGCCTGCTTTACTTTCATTTTCATTTTCAGCATAGCTTGATTAGCACAAGAAAAAAAAATCTGTTCTTAGCAATTTACCTCCTTGCAGCAAGCAGCAGAGGCTGTACAAAACAGCTGAGAGTAAAACAGCCGAGAGTCAGGAGGCCGATCCAATCAACTTGTGCTAATTAGGATGTGCTGAAGCTGAAACAAGTTGTTTCTTCTTGCTGCTTGCTGCAAGAAGGTAAACTGCTGGGAGGCAGAGGCCAAATGATGGGGGCCAGTGGGTGGGCGGGGCTACATTCGTTGTATAAGACGCACCTAAATTTTCACCCCCTTTTAGGGGGGAAAAAGGTGTGTCCTATACTCTGAAAAATATGGTAGGTCAATACACTGTAAAGAGTACCAGATTATCAGACCTGTTTAAAAATGCTCCCTGCCAAAACAACCTACCAAATGTGCAATAACTGCAATGCATCAGTGAAGATAAATAATTTTGCCAGGGTCTTGAAAGGCTAAAAAGATCTCTTCTTTAGATTACTGAAAAATAAAGGCATAAAAGATCCAGGGGAGCCTGAAGTGTCTTTGGGGTATATTTAAATAGAGTTTGCAAATCAAATATGGTATTGGAGCATTTCTAAGTAGTCCCACACCCAATCTTTGACCGGATCTAGACTTTCTTAGTTTTGGAAAAGAGGATGCTCAAACCCATAATCACATAAAGGGGATATTCAAAAAAGAAAGTATAGCATAATGGAACCATCCATTTCCCAGAACATTTTAATAACAAATGCTAAATTTATATTTCCTAGACTATAACATTTGGAAGCCCACACATACTCTCACGAGTTTCCAAATGCTGATGAAAAGTAATGGTTGTGTTACAGAAAATTGAAATGGTAACCGAATTTAACTGAAGTATCTCTAATTTTATCATTCCCAGTATGTATTTGCACTAAATGAGCTGATTCTCCTAATCAAACATTATTAAGGGGAATGGAAGTCTTAATTTCTTGGATATAAGGTCATGCTGGCTGGGTTTGTCAGAATTGTAGTATCAGTGGGGGTTCAAGGTAGAGGAGTGTATTTTTTATTCTTAAAAAGAAATATATGTGAATCCAAATACATATATAGCTATAATTCAGACTAAAAAAGAGAGTTTTAGAAACTAGCAAAAAATTCTAACCAAAGTTGGGGAAGATGTGGCTTGTGCTACTTGATTAATGTCATGGTACTGATGCCAAATAGTTATAACCATCATTCATAGGACTCTGTATTTCCAGTCACAGAATGGAAGGGCTTTCCCTGCTGCTGGGATAGTGGTGTCTTGCCTCATAGCTAGTCCTGCCATGACACTTAGGCATCCAGGAAACCAGAAAAGTCTGTGCGGTTAGAACAAGTCAGAGTCCTGCCAGCTAAGCAGTCTAGCACCAGTGGACAATTCTGATAAATCCCTTGTAGGGCTTTACTGTGTCCCCTAGCTTGAAGCTCCATTTGAAAGCGACCTCTCAAAACAGTGAGCCATCTTCTGGTTTCTTCAAACCTTGAAAGCTTACTTACTAATTTATGACATTTTAAGTAAAAAAGCACATTGGTATTATTGTTTGGAGTTTTTAATGAAGCAATTCAATAAGTGCCTTTAATCTTTTTGAAACATGTTTTTAAGATATGTTTTTAATTCTGAGAACACATTGGCTGCTATGAAGAACTGGACTGTCAATCATCTAGAACCAGAAAGCAAACTTGTCAGAGAAAGAGACAAATTTATAGACTACCATATTGTTTACAAAAATGAGGAACTCATCATTTCTTTATCCTAGAATGTTAAATTTAATCTGATACCTGCAGATTTCAGTGTCAGGTCTTTAATCTGATATCTGCAATCAGCATCTTATGTATTCAGATTGAGTTTAAAGTACAGAACTCACAGGCACCATATATGCCCTAATGTCTGAACTTTCCTGCTTTTTTTTTAATTGTTCACTTTCTAGAAACAATTTTAGCCTAATAGATTGCTCTGAAGGAAATATACACATATTTTTGTGCCATTTTGGCTGGACCCAATAAAGGCATTACATAATATTGCTGGAAGAAGGTAATGCCAAATCACTTATGAAAACTTGCTAGGAAAATGGCAGGGACAAGAAAATGGCAGGGACTCATCTAGAGAGATGCCAGGAGCCAAACTGAATTGAAGATTCACTCTATAGCTATTTTCTCCCCCTCCCTCATTAAAAACTAAAAGGCAAGCTGGGGGCGGGATTTACATACCAAAATGCTAAAAATGTTTATCAGCTCAAAATATGTCAAAATATGTTAACCAAGACCCGGCTTTAAAAAACATCCTGCTCTGTTACCTATTTTGATTTACTTTTAATTTTTAGTACAGTATTGGAATCTAATGCACAAAATGTACTTAGAATTACCAGTTTCTTCTAGAGAAAAAAATTGGAATAGGAACTGTCACAGTCCATCATGTATATCCTTTCCCCAAACCTCCTTCATATCAGTATGCAGGGCCGGATTTAGATGAAAAGAGGCCCTAGGCTATTCTACTTATGAGGCCCTTTCACCTATAGTGAAAGTGTAATTTTAATTTTGCTAACAATTTGAATGTAGGGAATGTAGGCCCTTCTTGATCTTGAGGCCCTAGGCTGAAGCCTAGTTAGCCTATAGGAAAATCCGGCCCTGTCAGTATGGTTTAAGCCATGAGTGACTTGATTACTACTTCTTATAAAACTAAGTCACCAAGTATTCATTGATCTCAAATTGTATGTTCCCAATGAACCTTTGAGCCTTTACCTCCCCTTTTCCCACCCCTCCTTCCCCACCTTGTCCTTGTGCACAGCAACCCACCAGAGACTAAATAAAAGACCTGTTTTTGCTGCCTGTTGAGACCAGGCTGCATTTAGCTAGCCTGTTGCAAGTAGCTAAATGATCTTGTCTCTGCAGCCTTTTCAATAGAGGCCTCTTGGTACTTTACTTTGCTAGATCTGCCCATTCCGCCTGCTTAGGGCTTAGTTTTGGCAGCAACCATTTCCTGGGTGGAATGCCCCATGTTTTTTTTGTGCCCAAATATATCTTGAAGGTTGAGCTCCTTTTCCCAGGCTGGAATGCCCTTATGCCGAATATAGCGGGCTTTCCTAACTTCACCATAAGATTTGAGGAAATCAGGCCTGTTGTACATAGTCCTTAGGCGTCCATCAGCAGCATAGGCCTCAGGATCCATGATCAGCTTCTCACGATCAAGAGAAGATCTTCGATTCTCAGGGAGATTCATGGGTTTGGTGATGGCCATGGTATCTTTGGCTTGAGAATCCCTTGGCTCTTCTTTCATTGAGTCTTTTCCTTGCTCTTCTATGATATCAGTCTGGTCCACAGACTCTGCTGAAATATTTAGCTGTTTAGCCATGGAGTCTTTAAGGCTGCTCATATCTCTGTCATCAGCAACATTTGGGTCTTTGGCCTCCAAGGGTGGCAAGTGCCCCTTTCTCTTTCCTTCACAACCAGAGACATCTCCACTGAGCTTCCATGGATGGATGGGAGATTGCTTTGTCCATGCAACTTCCCCAGTCTTAGGCAATGTTTTTCTTCGAGATCTAGAAAAGGAGGAGAGAAATGCTATTCTTTCATTAGGATTCTTTTCACAAGTAATCAATGGATTGTAGTCTCTAATGGAGGCATGGAAAACCCATCTATCTAATCCATCCTACTGGAGATCATTATCTTGCCTGGCAGTGTCTTGCTTCAGGAGAGAAAAGAAAATTGACAGGAAACAAACCTTTTCTCACCTGCAAGTCTTTAAAATAGTTCCTGTTCATATCATTGGTAATAAATGAATGTGGCCCACTGCTACTCACCTCCAACTTCCTTCTCCTCACAGGTAGTCCTTGGCTTACAACCACTAATCACTATTTATTTATTTGCAAAATCTATTTGCCATCCATCTTGCCATAGAGTAATTCTGGGTAGCTTACAATTATAATTACAATTGGGAGTGGAATTTCCATTGTAAGGCAATGCAGCTGCACAATTAGGTTAGCTCATTCATGACTATTGTAAGAGGCTTTTATCTCTGTAACCTCCCCCTCCATCATGTTTTCTGGTGGCTTCTTCCAAATGTTTTCTTCTCTTAGTAGAAATACCACTGAAAAGACTGAAGAGCCACACAATAGCTGTTGATCAGGAATACCAGGGGCTCACTAAATTCAATAAGGCCTGGTCCTTCTAAGTGTGTAACCTGGACCACTTGCATCTTAGTTTCTTGCAGTTACACTGACAGCGTACCATCCCTGAGGGATCTCATCTTTGCCTTTCAATTTAAAGCTACAAGTGCAGCCAACTGCAGCCAACTAATAAGGTAGAACTTGCCAATGTAGACAGCCAAGGCTCCTATATCACTGAACAACTCAAATGAGACATTTGTTTTACCGTAATCCTGTATAATGGAAGTCACCAGAATTCTGCACAACCAGAGAAGGAGGTAGAGGAAATGTTGCTTTAAAGTGAATATGTCCAGGGCCCAATGAGAATTTCTGCTTGGATCGGCCTAAGAAAGAGGTAAAGAAATAATTGCTATCCAGTTTCATCTCTAAAGGCAGACTAGACAATAATAAGAGAGCACATGTGAACTGTCTGAGAATGATGATTTCCCCCCCCCCTCTGTTATTTCCAGTGAAAAGCCATCAAGGAGTGCCAATTTGAAAATAAAGGAAGGGTCTCTTAAATCTATCCAAGTTCATGTTTATTGTTCAACCGTCTTTTATCCCCCTCAAAGGAGAATTTCTTTTTTCTCTTCTCCTCAGCTGGGACACTGCATTGTGCATTTGTTGAAGTGAATTTGAGCCCATGAAGCCACACAATATAATGGCTTTTAAGGTGCAACAAGACTTTTTTTTTCTGGGTAAGATCATTATTTAAATTGATATATTCCTTGAACTGTGTGATGAGCAGAAGATTAACACAATCTTCAGAAGGGAAGCTTGATTTTCCATCAGCAGACCAGTTAAGAGAAAGCAGGTATGAAGTAACCCACTTAACTGGACTCGAGCTGGCTAGATATCTGGAATATCCCTTCTTCCTTTGTCTTTGAAGTCTAAAATGGATGTGGCAAAAGGAGGACAGAAAGAGATGGAGTGTTCTGTAGCATATGCTCTTCTTTCTGTATCATGGTAAAACTATATCTACTAATTAACTGCAAGGTGCCTACAAACATATTCTTTGTAAACTTAGACTAGCTCAAAAGGCACACTGGCTGGAGAGTACTGGGATTTTAACTTTCCAGAGGTCTAACAATGCAAATCATCCTCCCTGTTTATTAAATTAATCCAAAGAGATTTGCCCCAAGTTACTGCAGGATGTCTTGGAGCAAACTGAGGTTGTAACTTCTCTTTACCTGCTCCAGGAATGCACACCATGTTGAATTCTTGATCAGCTCTTAAAGGTTCTAAAAAGACTCAAATTAAAGCAGCCTTTTAATTGTTGATCTTTCTATTTTTGATCTTAGCATCTTTGAATTCATGTTCTTATTGTTCTCATATTATTCATTGTTCTCATGCAATAATGAGTGGTATCACAAGAAATAAAATAATCACTACAGTGGATCAGAGCCTCTCCCTTCTATAAGTCCACAAGTAAAACATAGCTACCAATCAGTTGAAGAAAAATAAAATAAAATAATGGAAGATATACATAATCACAATGACTTGTCTAATCCTCTTAAATCACTTTTAAAACTCACCCTACACTGTGTTTTTACTCTTCCAGTTGCCTATTATATGTTAATTATTCATATGTAACATTTGCTTATACTGCACTACATTTGACATTTTCATATCCTTTTGCTCCAATTGGAAATAATATTCCTGTAATTTATCACACTTTTTAAAATTATATCTTTTATGGACTTAGAATAATTTACTGTGTATTTTATAAAGTACTTTCAGATGATTTAAATTAAAAGCAGTGGTTTTATCACAGATTGTTGGGAGTGTTTATATTTCTCTATTAGAAGAGCTGTTTATTCAGCTATCTAATTGCTTTTTCACTATTGCTATTCCATAATAAGGTATATTATTTTATCATAGGACTTGAGTTAAGTTTCCACAGATATTCTTGTGAAGGCCCCTGACAAAAGACTTGAAAACTTAAAAATATGAAATTTCATATCTGAGATACTTTTAATGTGTTATTTTGAAGGAAAACACACTCTATGGATTTTGGGGTGGGGGAGTTTGTGCATTCAGGTCAATTTTTGATTCCTGGAGACCAATTGAACTAGTCCCTGCAGATTTCTTGGCAAGGTTTTTCAGAAATGGTTTGCCATTGCCTTTTAACTGGTGCTGAAGGAAACTGATTGGTCCAAAATAGGGGTGGGTTCTACTTTCCTTTACTACCAGTTCGCAATGGGGCCGCTCACGCGCAGAAGCATTTTGATGATTTTGGGGTCGGTGGGTGGAGCCTCCCGCCGGTTTTACTACCGGTTCTATAGAACCAGTGTGAACTGGCGGCAACCCACCACTGGTCCAAAGTCACCCAGCTAGCTTTTGGAACTAGAACTAACAATCTCTTAGTTTTTAGGCTGATATCCTAACCAGGGCACCAAACTGGCTCCTAGAAAAATTAGCAAACTGAAATATCTTTGTTTAATTTGGCATTCAAATTATATATAACTAGTAAACCCTAATTGTATTTGACTAGGGCCAGTAAGTTGGTAGAGGTGGAATTTTCTTCCCAAGCTGAATTACACTATTTCTAACCATGGAGTTTTCTTAAGACAACTTTGGCAACATTTCTCAACTCCTGCAAATCAATTCTACTCTGTTGTTGCTAAACAACTAGAAAGTAGAGATTTCATGTCAAAATGTTGGATGAAAAGAGGCAAAGGCACCCTCACTTTTCTGTAACCTTAGGAGTTCCTGCTGGAGTCGCTGCTGTTCCCTGGTCATGGTGTTCAGACAGTAGAGCCGGGCTTCTTCTAAACTGCGCAGTCCTAGGGTAAGCCTGGCCTCTGCCCTCTTGACATCACGTCTCTTTGCCTCCCAGTGCCTTGAAGCTCCTCCCTCTGCCATGTTTATTTGAAAAGGCTGCAGAAAAACCTATCGATGGTTATCCTAGAAAGAAAGAAGAAACATCTGGTATTGACCATCCTTGGGACTTCACTTCCAGTCGCTCTTTACCTTGGGATAATGTTATCCTGAAACAGAAAAATGTATTATTTAACCCTCTTTCCAAACATTTTTCTGACCTGTGGCACTAGAACATTTCTGTCTATCAACTTTCAAATCTGTCAGAAGTAACCCATGTCAGGGTCATCAGTGCATCGGCATTGCTAGTTGGCTAATTTTCTACAGGAAAGCAATTGCCAGACTCTGCCATCCCCTATGACAGTTGCTCATAGTTTTGACTGCATGAATGGAAAGCTTCTTCTTTAGGTCCTTCAGATTCACTCTGAAGAAAAGTAGGAGGAAAATATAACCCTGTCTTCCTTCTTCCTTCCTCTTTAGAACAGCTGTTCTCAAAGTGCCCCTCAAGACCCTCTCAGGGGTCTACTGAATCAAAATCATTTGCCAACCTACCTTGAAAAATAAAAATATTAAAATCCCACCAAACATCAAATCATGAGAAGTGGCAGCAGTAGTGAATGCCTCAAGTTTTATTTTTAATTATGGTAAATACCGATAAATATAACTCATACAAAGAAAACCACTTCTGGGTCTTCCATAATTTTTAAAAGTGGGAAGGGGTCTTGGGAGAAAAAAAATAAATGCTATTCTAGAAGATATATGCCCTTCCAAATGTCATAGGGTACAAAATGCAAAAACTGCAGCTTTATATTTTCCTCCAATGTAAGCAAAATTTGAATCTGAGGGCTAGAGTCTTTATTAAATATATATTTTTTAATTTAAATACTTTTAAAAATTAAAACATTTTAAATGAAGTAGTTTTTGAGTCTAGGACTTCATGGCCCAGAATGCACTCACTCACTCTACTGCATCATAGAAAGGCTAAGATTTATCTATGTCAGCAAACTCAAGACTTGAGGGCATCCCATCCCATCCCAAGGAATGGCATCCCATCTTTTTCTAAGTTTTTTGCATATATATATATATATATATATATATATATATATATATATATATTCAGAATAGAACAGGTTTCTGTTATGTTCATGGGATTGAGTTGCTATGCAAAGAGTTGTTGCTCAACCCATAGTTAATATATTTTGTTAATTCAGTTGTGTAATCTTCAAAGATAAACATTTGTGTTGACTTGCCCCTTTTAAAGTTCAAATGAACCTATTATGCCAGTGCTGTCTTAAATTATTTATTTCTATGTCCTCTCTCCAACTTATGAGAGCAGCAACAAGGAACTTGAAGGGTGCTTTCCAAACTATGCAAGTATGGTAGTTTTAAGGTTTGTCCTGAAGTTTTTCCCCCTAGGTGTCCCATATTTGTTAAGAAAGCAAAACAAAGAAGGGATAGGGTGGAATGCAGAGAACTCCGGGATTCTGACACAATTAGCAAAGGCATCAGAAACATCACCAGAGTGTTTCAGGCCAATAAATCAGAACACATTTGTTTGTGTTAGAATTAGAAGGACACAATCTCAGGTTTGGATGGTATTTTTTTTAATGGCATGACAAGGTTAATGTAGACTTAAAAACCATTATGTTAGAAGTGCCATACTATGAATAAGGAATAGCTAGTACAGACCCCAGCTGTGCCCAAAAATGGCTTTACTGATTTCAGCCCAAACATTTTACATTATGAAAAATAAACAGTGGGTAAAGAAAAATGGTTAACACATCAAGATTTGTTAGAAGAAGAACATGGGAAACTTAAATATGTACAATTAAGAGAAAGATAAATAAAAAAGTAATTGGAATTCAAAAACATAGAATAGAATTTGAAATTTAATTTGTGATTGCTAAACTGTACAAACTTTTGCTGAGAGTTAAAATGGAGGAAGAACAAGTTAAAGATGATAAAATAGGCTAAGAATTTGGTTATAATGTTCAGATGGACCAATGGGAGAGAATGTGGCTAAAGGACTAAAATTCATATTATTACAATTTAAGAAAGAACTCTTACAGAATGATGATTTATCCAAGGTGTAGAAAGGTATTCTAATCAGTGTTGAAAATGTGGAAAAGACTCATTTTACCATGCATGGTAGACTTGAGAAAAAGGGGAGGAAAAGTGATACCCATGCATAATAATGATACAAAGAATTTTAAAAACTACTATTCAGGTGAACCCAGAACTTTCTTTACTGAAATTTATGGGTAACCAAGCAGAAAAGACCTATGGAAGATTGGTTTTGACATGATAACTTCAGTGAGACTATTGAACAAAAATGGGGAAAAATTCAAATATCCACAATATCCACTCTACCTGTAGTACATCACTGCCTCAAATGCACATATGAAGAATACTGACAAACAGCAATAGCACTTACAGTTGTAGAATTCTTGCTGAAGTGAAGAATGCTCTTTTTCACAAGATGAATGTGAAGCTAGGTGAGGAAATTATCAACCCAGCATGATCCAAAGGGACAAGAAAGGCTGTCATTAGCCTGTCTCCTGTCCCCTTCAGGGGGAAAAAAGAGCAAATGGAGGAAGTGCAGCAGCAAGGAAAGCAAAAGCAAAATCTTTCAGCAGCTCTGGCTGCCCACAGAGCAAATGAAATCAGTGCATTCTCATCCTTTCATGAAAATCCCTTTGTAGCTATTGTTGCTTGTTGCCTGGAAGGCGGAGATTATGGAACTTCAGCTGCTGCTTGACTCAGATGAGCAGCCCAGAAGAAAGAAGTCTTTAGACAGAACACAATTAGAAAATGTGCCAATTTTACAGTTCCTGCCTCCCTCCTTCTTTCTCACACACATAATTAAGTCAATTCTGTCAAAAATTTCTCTCCATGCAATGCAATTGAAATCTATACATTTGCTGAGAAATCATTATGAAAAATGGGTTTCCTTCCTTTCCCCTTCCTTCCTCCCTTCCTCCTTCCCATTAGAACCATCTTCATTTCTCATAAAAGGTTCACAAAGCAGTCTGTCAAATGCTGTCATACTGAGAACAGACTTGTCGAGTTTGCCAGTTTCTCAGGAAAAACTTCACAAGCGCCAAATAAACTCTCTTATGGTACAGTAGCAAAGCTTTAGACTGTTAAAAATCAATACACATAAAAACAAATGGCAAAGAAAGTGGAGACCTTTTCTTAAACCCTAAGACCAGTGAAAAGCAAAACTTTTAGGTATCAAGTACCCAAACCGGAATGTGTGTGTGTGTGTGTGTGTGTGTGTGTGTGTGTGTGTGTGTGCCGGAAGAGTAGCTGGTGACGGTGTGCATGCCCACAGAGAGAGTTCTGCATGCCACCTCTGGCACGTGTGCCAGAGGTTCACCATCACGGCCCTAGACCCTTAGTTAGTTTCAGGGTTGGAAAATTTGTTTCAGGCTGAGGGCTGCACTCATGTTTTAAGGTCTGGCCAGAGGCACACTCCAAAAATTTGTGGGGAAGGCCATATATATGATTTCATTTGAATGATATCTAAATTAGTTCATATGATTGCTTTCCAAGACTATATTTAAACATGTTCCCTATTTTTTTTATGTTATACTCTAGTAGTATGGTAACAATATGTTGGGGAGGTCATCCAAGGCTTTCAGGTATCCAGCTTTGTATTAGGTAATCTTTCTCCACAATATTTAGTTTCTGCATGCAAAAACCCCAAGAAGGGGACTTAAAGAGCCATTGGACAACTTCTTTTCATTCTTTGTGGAGTTTACCTGATATGTATAATCAAGCAAAAGACAAATATGCACAGTGCCACAAAGGCTGCTATTGTGTCAAAATCCTAGCAACAAGAAACCAAGAGATTTGTTGGCTCTCAGGTTGTTTGTCTGTGTTTCCCCCTGAGCATATGATGCACCTCTGAGTGCTCCTAGAAAAGCATCCCAAAGCCCCCAGCCATACAACAGATTGAAATATTGGTTTTGGATGGCATAATTGGTCAGGAAAGAACACCAGATATTCTGAATGGTGCTGCATGCTTTTCCCCCCATTGTTGGCTGTAGCCAAGGGTGCTATTAGTATGGTTCAGACAGCAACATATTGACAAAGAAGACTAAACACTTCTGAATGAAAATTGTTAACATTTTGAGTACTTTAGTAGTATGGAAGAACACTAGCTCTGTAAATACCCCCTCAGCGTGCAGAAAATCCTATTACAGGTCCTGGCAACTCTAAAAAAGGCCAGGAAAGGATCCAAACTGAAATCCTGAAGAGGAACAGATAGTTATTGTAGAAATAGTAAGGATTTGCATTTCTACAGCCTCAATTCTTACCTTCCTAGGTTCTAGGGAGTGCTAGCAATAGTGAAAATGTTGAGAAGAGATAATCACATGAACATGCAACATGTTTGTGTACTCTAGAACAATGCCAGCCACCCCCATCCCACCCACACTGTATTATCAACACTTGACAGTTAACTTCACCCGCAATAACACAAGGGCTATCAATAGATACAAACTAAATGTAATCCGCTCTAATCTTGATTGCAGAAAATACGACTTCAGCAATAGAGCAGTAAATGCCTGTAACACTCTACCTGATACTGTTGTTAGTTTCTCTAACCTCCATACCTTTTACCTTAAACTGTCTACTGTGGACCTTACACATTTCTTAAGAGGTCCCTAAGGGGTCGTGCCTAAGCGCACCAGTGTGCCTACCATCCCTGTCCTACTGTCCCCATTTATATGTACTCATTTTATGTGTTTATGGCTATGTTTTGCTTATTTATATTCATTTATTTGTGCCATTTTTTCATGTGGCCATGTCTATGTCTATACTGATACTTGTTTCCTTGTAGTTGTTGACAAAACAATTAAATAAAATAAATAAAAATAAACTATTAAATTACAGAAGTGCAATGTTTGGTTTTTTTAAAAATGCAGTAAGAACCTGAAGAAGACCTCCAGCACTGATATATCTTCTGCACTGACTTTCCAGGTTAGGTCCTTATTCCTCCCCAGTTCTGGTTCCACAGTCTGAATTCCCGGGCTGAATACATCAGAATAGATTACGTCAAATTGTTTCTTCTTACAGCAGTATTGGGCAACCCTTGCGTGGCGAAGAGCCACAGTCAACATTTTGTAAAGGCATCAAATGCGTAGGGTTATGTACATTGCAGGAAAGGAATAGCTTGAGACCAAAAATAGGGAGATGAATTGTAATATGCCTACTTTGAGGTTTTAGGTCACACTTTTCATCTATTTATTTTTAAATAAATAAACCATGCTCCATCATTAGAGGCTTTCAAAAAGAGACTGGACAACCATTTATCTGAAATGGTACAGTGCAGTGATGGCTAACCTTTTTGGCACCAAGTGCTGAAAGTGCATGCACGCACACCCATAATGCAATGTGCAGGCGCGTGCCCCCCATGCATACGCCTGCAATCCCTACGTACAGTCTGCCGCGTGCATATGTGAGTGACCCCCATGTGTACCCCAGCCCCGCACATGCATGTGCAACCCCCACGTGCATCCCACACATGCATGTGCACCCCACACATGCATGTGTGATCCCCATGCATGCGCCCCCTTGCGCATGCATGCACATCTCCCACATGTGCCCTGCCCCCCAGGCATGTGCACCAGAGACCCAAAAACCACCTGGCTGGCAGGAGGCACTCACGCATGTGCAATAGAGCTAAGCTGGGGCAACGGCTTGCGTGCCCGCAGAGAGGGCTCTTCATGCCATCTGTGGCAAGCGTGCCATAGGTTCACCATCACAGGTATAGTGTCTCCTGCTTGAGCAGGGGGTTGGACTAGAAGACCTTCAAGATCCCTTCCAACTCTATTATTCTATGTTCTAAATAGTTGGCAAGTTCCAACAGTTTTCAGCAATCGTAATCACAAGAATCTCTTAAAAGCTAAAAAAAGAAGAGGCAGTGACTGTCAGTGGTCCTGGGACTATAGGTTGCTTCCCTTGGCACTATGGGAGGCCACATTAGCTGAGGGTATTATTTTTCCATTATCACTACTGAAGCAAAAGACAGTCACTTCTGTAAGAAAATTTTTCAAAAGATTGTTGTCAAAATTAGAATTCTCCAAATAGCAGGAAAGATTAAGTTCTTACCTTTCTGCTCTTTGATGTTCTATTTTCAGTATTATATTTAAGGAAGACAAGCAGGATAAAAAGGAATGCATTTGCTAGAAGGCCAGTTCCAGGAGGAGCAATGAAAGATTACTACTGTCAATGCAGAAAGTGGAATAGGAATAAAATGGTGCTCTTTATCTACCACAAGGTGTCACTGTAATTCCACCTAAATTTTTAGGAGCTAAGCCTGGGAGCCAAGTTAGGAAGAGAACCTCTCAGAGATGCCTCAGATTTATCATGGACAATCCACATTGGAAATCTGAACATCTTGTGCCCTTGATTAAGGCATCTTTAAACAGAACAGAATTGTAATTTGCCTTTGTAGCTACGAGCACAGATTCCTCTGCACTTTTCAAACAAAATAACTGTGTCAAATATATTAGAAAATGTTAGTGTACAAAAGTTACATGTTTGTTTATTTACAGGATGGAACCAGTGTTTCAGGAGACTTTTTAAATATGTTTTTATATGTTCAGCAAGTGGTTATTGGTAACAAATGTGCCTGAAAAAATAATAACGGAGTTAAATAAAATCTGTATTGACATTTGTCATGTTGATCCATTTCCATCTTAAGGAATAAATTAAAACTTGTGCCTTTCCATTAGTTCCTAAATTAGATATTAATGTTTTTTCTTTTCCTTCTACCTCCTTCTCTTTCTTTTTGACTTCCTAATTGTTTATTTTTTGGTCTTTTTTGCTGTATATTATTTGTTTTTCCATTATGTTATAGAATACTATGGATGACATGCAGTGGTGGGTTTCAAATTTTTTTACTACCGGTTCTATGGGTGTGGCTTGGTGGGCATGGCATGGCTTGGTGGGCGTGGCTTGGTGAGCGTGGGAAGGATACTGTAAAATCTCCATTCCCACCCCACTCCGGGGGAAGGATACTGCAAAATCCCCATTTCCTCCCAATCAGCTGGGACTTGGGAGGCAGAGAATAGATGGGGGCGGGGCCAGTCAGAATTTTTACTACCGGTTCTCTGAATTATTCAAAATTTCCGCTACTGGTTCTCCAGAACTGGTCAGAACCTGCTGGAACCCACCTCTGATGACATGGAAAAAAATACCAATCCAGAAAGTTAATGAAAACAAAATCAAATTGTTCATAATTTTGCCAATTAAAAGGAAAAATAGAAATTAGTCCATATTGAAAATAATTTATAGAAAAGGTTATACATGATTTTAGGTAACACTGAGTAAATATTTTTAAACCAAAAGATTATTAAATGTGACATAAGATCTGGTGCATTTTTAAAATGAAAAACAGAAACAGGTGAAAATCAGAGTGGCTAAGACAGCAGAGAGAGATTTCCACGACAACCTGTTTCCTCAGTCTGAAATGATATTTATTACTTGCCTTCCATATGTACTTGCTGCATTTGTGATCTGAAATTCCATGCGAGACATGTTTTTCTCTTTCATTTTATTCATTAATGCATGAACTCTACAATTTACTTTCTTTGTTCCAAGTTGCAATCTTTCCTATGTCATCATTGTCAAAAAAT